TCTAATTATTATTATTATTGAGTCGTATTGACTATGGATGCATGACTAAAGCAGTACTTTTTAAAAAACCAAAAAATTAACAGCACACAGGGATCTACGGTGGTGGGTGGTGATAGAGGGATTATATTGGGACTAAAATGACTTTGTTGTTTCAGCACCTGGAGGAGTTTGCAGAGAGGCTGCTTCCTGTCACTGACCCTCTTCACCAGATGGTGGAGCAGTCGGTGCAGCTTCTAGCACAGAGGAACAAGGACATCCCTGAAGTGTCAGAAGTTCCCTGGAGTGTCCATGTGGTCGAAGGGCCTCAAATCAACGCCTTTGTCCTTCCTGTGAGTTAAAAGAACCACAAACCAAAAACTTTTTCTCTTATTTGTGGCCTTTGTCACTGCTGCACAGTGTGGGACTCATATGTTCATAATATTTGCTGCTTTCTTATTGTAGAATGGAAAAGTATTTGTGTTTACCGGGATGTTGGGAGCTGTGGCAGATGTTGACCAGCTTATGATCGTACTCGGACATGAAATGGCTCATGCTATACTGGACCATTCAGTAAGTCCTCTAACTTTGGCAGAATTGATTATCCAGGAAAGCTCTGTGTTTACACCTTTAAGATTCTTTCTTTAGAAGAGATCACTCGGGACAAATTCTTTAAATAACACTTCATTATGTATATGTGTTTAATAACCATGAGACTTGATGACAGATATTGACAGAAATTGTAATCTTACTCAGATCATAGAAGTTGTTTAGAGTTCCAGAAGACGGGGCTTAGCAACTGGGCTCGCTTCTTGTGACATCAGACCTGAATCACAGTTAAAGAAGCATTTTATAAATCTCCAGGTTGCCACATCATCACATCATTACATCATAAGTGTTTATAAATGAGGAAACATCCATGGCTCCAGCCTTATCAAAATATTCCACTTTGTTATTAGATTAAGGACACCGCCTTCATTCCATTCACCAATCTTTACCACGGACAGAATGAAAATGACTTTTTAGTCTTACAGAGGAACTGTCCTAATTATATAAACTACTGAGGAAAACATGAGTTGTGACACGCAACAGGCAGCTAATATTAGGGTTTAACAGACTCACACATCATCAATAGAAGTAATCCTAATGCTACGTTCACACCGGACGCAGCAAAAGCAGAAAAATCGCGTCTGCTGCTTAATTTTTGCTGCTTGTACCAGTTAGTTCTGACGCGCTGCTGAAGCAGCTTTGCTGCTCTGGCTGCAAAAGTGTGTCTGACGCGCGTTTGGCGGAGCTACTCTATCCTTTCTTTACCTTGCAGCTATATTTGCTGTGATCAGTGGGAATAAAGTAGTTCTAATATG